AAAAAAGTAGTTGTTGTTGTGGCATCCAGAGGAAAATAGTAAACAGAAAATACATCTTGAAAATTATTGAGAATGAAGCAGAGAGACATAGAAACATTTTTATTAATAAATAAAAAATTTTAAAAAAGAAAAAAAAATGTAGTTGTTGTGGCATCCAGAGGAAAATAGTAAACAGAAAATACATCTTGAAAATTATTGAGAATGAAGCAGAGAGACATAGAGATAACATTTTTAAATATAAGGGAAATCAAGAGACATGACAAACAGAATGAACAGACTAAACATTCATCTACTCAAATTTCCAGAATGAGAAGAGAAAATGAGACACTAGCTTTATAGAGTTAATGGCTATGAGTTTTCCACAACTGATCAAAGATAGGACTCCTAAAATTCAGGGATTCCAACAAAGCCCTGGCAGGAAACAGAAAAGATACCTTCACCTTATCACATCATAGTGAAATTATAGATAGAATATCTTAAAAGTTGTCAGCAAGAAATGACAATCAGACTGACAGATGAATTTTTATCATCAACCATGGAAGCAAGGAACATGAGAGTAAAATCTTTAATAAATTAGAAAAAAACAAACAAGTAAATATTCAACTTAGATCTATATACCTGATAAAGACATTCTTTAAATATAAGGATAAAATAAATAAATTTCCAGATAAATAAAAACTAAAATTCTCTCATGAACAGATCCTCACAAAGGACATTTAAAAGTATGTACTTAAGCTGTAACCGGTTTGGCTCAGTGGATAGAGCATCGGCCTGCGGACTGAAAGGTCCCGGGTTCGATTCTGGTCAAGGGCATGTACCTTGGTTGCGGGCACATCTCCAGTAGGAAGTGTGCAGGAGGCAGCTGATCGATGTTTCTCTCTCATCGATGTTTCTAACTCTCTGTCTCTCTCCCTTCCTCTCTGTAAAAAATCAATAAAATATATTTTTTTTAAAAAAGTATGTACTTAAAATGGTAGGAAAGTTATCCAGATAATCTAATTTATGTAAAGAAATGTGATAAAAGTGGTAGTAAATATGAGGATTAATTTTAAGAGTGACCATGTACAACAAGAATAAAGACAAAAATAAAATAAAATATAAGACAACAATAGCACAACAACATGTATAGTCCTTGTACAGCTTTAAGGAGCAAGAAGCAAAAGCAACACTACTAACATTTAAGACCAGATTGATAACTCTGTGAGAGTTTTCTTGTGTATCATAAGCTATTCAACAGCATCTCTGGTCTCCAACCACTAGAGGCCAGTAGCAGTCTCCCACCTGTAACAACCAAAACTGTCTCCACTAACCTCTAACCCCACACCTCACACCCCACAACCCCTCCCTGAGCAGAACTGTCCCTAGTTGAGAACCTTTGTTCTAGAGGAGTGGTTCTCAACCTTCCTAATGCCGCGACCCTTTAATACAGTTCCTCATGTTGTGGTGACCCCCAACCATAAAATTATTTTCATTGCTACTTCATAACTGTAATTTTGCTACTGCTTTGAATCGTAATGTAAATATCTGATATGCAGGATGTATTTTCATTGTTACAAATTGAACATAATTAAAGCATAGTGATTAATCACAAAAACAATATGTAATTATATATGTGTTTTCTGATGGTCTTAGGCGACCCCTGTGAAAGGGTTGTTCGACCCCCAAAGGGGTCTCGACCCACAGGTTGAGAGCCGCTGTTCTAGAGTGACCACTAAAATAATGTCTCTAAGTTAAGATGGAACACTTGCTCTGTATCAAACCCCACTAAAATAAAAATGGTGAGATATCCTTTAAAAGTCCTAAACCCACAAGAAGAGGGAAAATAAAGAAGAGCCAACAGTCACAACACTCTGGAAGTTGAGACACAGATGAACAAGAAAGCAGAATCTAAACTGGTGGGAGTAGGGAATGAAGTTGGGAAGGGAAGATGAAATCCAATAAATTTATAGAGAAGAATCTTCAAATGGCTCAGGAACTGACGGTATTCCTGGAATTGGGGCTGAAAGCAGGGATACTAACTGGCTGCTGGGAGTGCACCTCTTCCTTATCTCAGCAGAAGTATAGGTATTTATTCCTTCTCAAGAGAGAAAAACAGTACAATTCTTAGTTGGAAGACAACTCAGACAACATAATTAGGACATGGATACCAACAGAAAGAGGGACTAAGGGATTATATGCAAACTGAATGCTAACTACCAAGATCCTGGCAGCCCTGACTTTCTACATAGAAGGTTTTAAGACTTCTGTGGAAACCGATTAGTCTAAAACAGCGGTTCTCAAACTGTGGGTCACGACCCCTTTGGTGGTCGAACAACCCTTTCACAAGGGTCGCCTAAGACCATCCTGCATATCAGATATTTACATTATGATTCATAACAGTAGCAACATTACAGTTATGAAGTAGCAACGAAAATAATTTTATGGTTGGGTCACAACATGAGGAACTGTATTTAAAGGGCTAGAAGGCTGAGAACCACTGGTCTAAAAGGAAAGAGCTAATGGTTCTAACATTGGGGACTCACCAATAAGCAGATGATCCCGCCTGCCATAAAGTTCAAAATGCCTTGCAAATGTAAGAAAAAAAATGATTTCCAACCAGAATTCTACATTCAGGCAAACTAGCAATTAAATATGAGAGCAGAATATAGACATTTTAACAAAGTCTCAACTTTGCCTCCCATGCACAACCTTTCCCAAGAACCAGAAAATATGACCCAGCCACTTTGAAAATATCTATTTTTATACAATTTGTAAGCTGAGACTCTGATATACAAAACACTCTTTTATTTAATGAAATTGAAAGCTAAAAAAACATATTAAAACTTCTTGTGTGTACTTTAAAATTCCTTTAAATTATTCTATAATTTAGCCCTTTCCCCAATCTCCCAAATTACAAGATTTTACTTTATTGTTGATACACAGGATAATTTATTTTCAAATTTTTCTAGGTCTACAATTCAAATAGTTTTTCTAACATTTTTTTATTACAACAACCAGAAACAATTTCTCTCACTATTCTCAATCTCATTCTTAAACACTAAAAGTACAATTTACCACCAAACCAGAGCTATTAATAACCAACTAAAACACAGGACAGAAGAGGGGTTATTAACTACAAAAAGCTTTTAGATTCAGTTAAATACAAGAGGTGTTACCTGATTTTTCTAGCTCCTGATGATACGTTTTTATTATACAAGCCAGCTGCTTTTTATAAGGGCAGGGTGTCCTATGCAAGTGCAGAGCCCCAGTTTATTGAACAGCAGGATTTAACACCCTTTTATCAACCCTACTGAAGCTTTTCCTGCATATCTAGACAGTCCCAAGGAATCTCTACAAACCTCCGAGGTAAGTATTTCTCAAAATACAGCTGGCCAATTCACTGCACCACCCTTCAAGAAGTGTGGGGAAAGGTGAAACTAAGGGTGCAGGGGAAAGATAGTATGAACACCTGTCAGAGAAAATAATGATTTTGAAATAAACTGTGAGACTTACTGGATGGCTCATTTGTAGCAGAGCACTAGATTATACTTATCTCCCTTACATATAAATAAAAAGTGATCTTGTACCTCTAACTGTCAGAAACTGAGAAATATCCTGGTGGCATACCAAACCAATAAAGTATCAGTTTTAATCAGTTAAATATTTGTTTTGGTGTATTTGACTAAGCCACATCATTTTTTTTTCCTTCCTTTTCTTAAAAAAAAACGTCACTGCATGGGCAGTAACAGTGATTGAACTATCATCTAGCACATGTGCACATGAGGGAAACCATTGACACTACACAACTTTAATCCAGTTAATTCTGCAACTAGTAAGCACACTACAAGGTTAGCTTCTGTCTACTAGTTAGAGATTAGACAGTAACTAGCATTAACATAATAAAACCTGCAAAGACGATTTGATATTTTAGAGATTTCAAGTGCACTACCATTTCAATACCAAGACACAAACCTATTCACTCCTTTTGCTCTGAATGATTAAAAATAAAAGGAAGTTTTGTAACTCACTGGTCAACTCCTTGATTACTCATACCTCTTGATCTCCTGGATTTTGGAAATCTTTGCTAATGCTTGTATCTCGAGTCCATCGAGGGGGTTTCCAAGTTCTTTCCTGTGTTCCTCTGTTATAGTAATAACTACGCCCCGAAGTATCTTTATGAGTTTCCCATTCTCCATTAATTTGAATTGCTGGGCTCCCAGGAAGTGGGGGGAGAGTAGACTGGGATATTTTCAGCTCTTGTAGATTAGCATAGACAGGAGAATCTGGACGTCCTTGATTTGGAGGTGTCGTTGCCTGTGAAAAATTTGAAGTATTCATGTTTAAACTAGCATATCATTTATAAATTAAAATTAAATTAAACACAAGATTTATAAAGATACATACTAAAATTCATTTTAAACCTATACAGGAAGTTTCTTTTTAAGGAAGTAACAATTTAACAGTTTCAATATCCCTAGTTTCAAAGAAATTAAAGATTCAAAGAGAATCCAGTGTGATTAATAACTTTCCCTCACTCTGAAAGAATATACAACTAGAAATCAGAAGCTGTGGGTTCTAGTCCAAGATGTGGCACTAACAAGTTATATGACACAGGATCAGATCACTTCACCTCTCTAAAGATGAATTTTTTTATTGGTTGTAAATGAGGAAATTGAATTAAACAACCTGAGTCTCCTTTGGCTCTAAAATTCTAGTATTTTAGGCAATTTTTAAAATATAAAAAGCCTTGCTCTAGCTGGTTTGTCTCAGTAGATAGAGCATCAGCCTTCAGACTGAATGGTCCCGGGTTCGATTCTAGTCAAGGGCACATGCCCGATTGCACACTCAATTCCCAGTAGGGGGTGTGCAGAAAGCAGCAGATCAATGATTCTCTCTCATCATTAATGTTTCTATCTCTCTCTCCCTCTCCCTTCTTCTCTCTCTAAAAATCAATAAAAAATATTTAAAAATATATATAAAGACTTACACATGAGTAACTTAGCAACTACTCAGAAAACTATCAAAAGAAATAATTTTATATTCAAAGCTTTAATATTAAATCAGGAATATAAATGAAAGATAAAGGAGATAGAGTACTTCAGCTAAGAATTTACTACATTCTATTCCTTCTCAGTTACAATTTCTAGGTAGCCATAAACATATAATTTAATTTATTCCTAGTTTCTTTGTGAATTTCCTAACAGTGGAAAAGTAAGAATGAGCAATAACTCTGATTTACAAGCTTAATCTCAAACTAGGTATTTTGTTTTAAATGTCTCACTACATGTCAAGAGCAGAATACTCGTCATACACTTTGCATAAGGACACTGTAAACTGGGTTGCTGAAAAAAAAGCATCCGTCTGAGAAGACCTTTTTATATTGTGTATGCATATTTATGTATATACTAGAGGCCCTGGAGGGGGGGATCCCTCAGCCCGGCCTGCCCCCTCTCACATTCTGGGAGCCCTCAGGAGCGGGAGGCAACCTGGCCATCAGGGGAAGGCGACGCCCCATCACACCTCTGCTGCTGCCACTGCCAGCAGCCCAAGCCTCGGCTGGCCCTGGTTACCTGAGCCTCGGGCGGCCCTGAGCAGCTGGGCAGCTGCCATCTGAGGCTTGCATGTGCCTCGGGCGGCCCTGGGCAGCTGGGGGGCTGAGGGGACTGGGGACTCCGGAGGCAGGCGGGCAGAGCGGCCGCGCCCGCCCCCAGGCACCTGCCATCCAGCAGGGTTAAGAGGACTGGGCGCTGCCATCTTGTGGCTGTGGGCGCTGCCATCTTTGAGGGCATGGCAGTCAATTAGCATATTCCCTCCTTATTGGCTGTGGGCGCCACCATCTTTGCGACGGCGTGAGGGTCAATTCCCTCTTTATTAGATAGGATCATTCCTTTTATGACAGGGTATCTCAACCTCAGCACCACTAGCATTTTGGGACAGATCATTCTTTGCTGTGGGAGGCTATCCTGTGCACTGCAGAATGTTTACTAGCATCTCTGGCCTCTACCCTAGATCAAGGATGGGGGAACTTTTTTTCTGCCAAGGGCCATTTGGATATTTGTAACACCATTCACGGGCCATACAAAATTATCAACTTAAAAATTAGCCTGCCATAGTTGGTCAAACATTTAATTAACTCATCCCTAACACCATGGCAGGGCCAGACCAAATGATTTTGAGGGCCTTATGAGGTCCGCGGGTCAGACGTTCCCCACCTCTAGTCTAGATGATAGTGGCTTCCCCCCCAAGACCTCACTGTGACAACTAAAAATTATTCAGACATTGCCAAATGTTCCCTAGGGACAAAACTGCCCTTGGTTTCGAACCACTGTTTTATCATATAAATCCTAGAATTATACTCAGATGTACAATTACTTCTATAATATACCCATTGTTTTATGAATGCTTAAAGATGTTGAATTAAAAAGGAAAATGTGGATAGATATACTGAATCAGTTTTATTGAAATTAAAGTAACTATAACTTCTCAAACATAAAAAATAAATTTATATTTAAATTTTTTAAAAGGGGGAAAGAGCTAAAACAAATAAATATTATTTGTCTATTAGGTAATTATAATTAATTGAAATCACATAATAAGCTTTAAAAAAGAAAACAGTAAAAATAATCCACAGCTTAAACACATTTAAGAAATGGTTACCTTTGGACTTTGGTCTTTTTACACACAGTAATTATGCCAAACAGTGTACTCAATGATACAAATTATAATTACACAAATTAACATTTTTCTTAAAATGTTACCTTTGAATTTAGATTACTATTGAACAGTATCCTCCTATGAGGAAAATCTATCCATGAAGACAAATTTCCATGTATTTCTCTTCCAAACTAATTCCAATCCTGGTGAATTCCCTAAGATAATAATGCTTCTCTGACTAAAAATTAACTCTGTTAATATAGTAGTTCTATATAGTAAGTCATTTCCCAGAACCTTGTCAAGAGAATATTTATTCAACAAGTATTAAAGAAATTCATATTTATTTCTGATACCTTTACTAAAGTTGAAGAAATAAAAATACCAAGAAACAGCCATTTTCTAAATGATATTTATGGACAAACTCCACTAAATCTTTAGCAAAAAACTAGTTTCTGTTTAAGTAGTTGAAATTTAAACAGTTTTTCCAATTAAAAAAAAAATTTAAACTGCTTCAACACAGTTTATAAGGCAAGCATAATTCCGAAACAAAAGCAAAGAATTAAATGAAAGAAAATCATAAGCCAATCTCACTTATAAATAAAAATGTTAACTAAAACATTAGCAATCAAATCCAGTATTAATAAATAAATTGGGGAAAAAGCAGAAATGTTAAGAAAGTCTGTCTTTAGGAAATCTCACTGTAATCCTTTACATTAACAGAACAACATGGTCATCTCCACAGACCAACAAATCAATTGATCAAATTCAACATGGAATCAGAATAAAACTCAGCAAGTGAGGAATAGGTGATACCTCCTATTAATTTGACTTTTAAAAATTACATAGAATAAATATCATATTTAGCAGGACCCTGATGAAAAGCACTGTCATTAACGTCAATAATAATCTGCTTTCACCACTCTTATTCAAGATAGCACTGGAAGTCCTAGCCACAGGGATCAGACAAGAAGAAAACATAAAAGGTATCCAAACTGGAAAGGAGGAATTAAAACTCATTATTCACAGATGACATGATACTATACATAGAAAACACTAAAGACCCCACCAAAAAACTACCAGATTTAATACATAAATTTGGAAAAGCAGCAGCATACAAAATTAACACACAGAACTTGATGGCATTTTATACAACAATAATGAACTCTCTCAGAAAAGGAAACTAAAAAAAAATCTCATATACCACTGCAAAAAAAAAATCCAAAAACAATAAGGTACTTAGGAATAAACCTAACCAAGGAGGTAAAAGACTGTATTTGGAAAACTATAGGACACTATAAAAAGAAATAGAGGAAGATACAAACAAGTGGAAGCATATACCATGTTCATGGATTGGAAGACTTAACATCATTAAAATGTCCAAACTACCCAAAGCAAACTATAGGTTCAACACAATTCCTATTAAAATGCCAATGGAATATTTCACAGATCTAAAACAAATATTCCAAAAATATATATGGAACAAAAAAAAAAACCTGAATAGCCTCAGTAATCTTGAGAAAGAAGAAAAAAGTTGGAGGGATCAAAATACCAGATATCAAACTATATTACAAAGCCACTGTAATCAAAACAGCCTGATACTGGCACAAGAACAAGCATACAGATCCATGCAACAGGACAGAGAACCCAGAAATCGACCCAAGCCATTATGCTCAATTAATATTTGACAAAGCAAACAAGAGCATATAATAGAGTAAAGGCAGTCTCTACAATAAATGGAATTGGGAAAATTGGCCAGATAACATGCAAAAAAAAAAAAAAAAGGAAACTCGACTAAAAACTTACAACATACACAAGAATAAACTCAAAATGGATAAAAGACTTAAATATAAGTTGTGAAACCATAAAAATCCTAGAAGTAACCATAGGCATCAAAATCTCAGATATCTCTCATAGCAATATATTTACAGATACATCTCCTAGGGCAAGGGAAAAAATTAACAAATGGGACTACTAGGTGTATTGGTTAATAATGCAGATTTTGTAATCAAAGGAAACACAATAATTTCAAGAGAAACATCAAAAGTGCTTCATTCAAAGTAATGTCCATCGCTAGCTACACATTTCCCCCATCTTTAGGTAATTTGTGGATACCATCCCAATAGAACTTTTCTTGTTTTGAGGCAAACCATTCACAGACCCAATTTTCCACTTCTTTGTATGTTTTGAAGTGCTGCTCAGAAAGTGCATGTGCCATCTATCAGAACAAGTGGTAATCTGAAGGAGCAAGGTCTGGTGAATACAGCGGGTGAGTTAATACTTCCCAGGCAAGATCTTTTAACATGTCTTTAACTGGTTTTGAAGTGTGTGATGGTGTGTTATCATGAAGCAAAATTACTTTGCTGTGTCTTCTGGAACATTCTGGTCATTTCACGATCAAAGCGTGCTTCAAATTGATTATTTGTTGTTGGTAGCTATCAGTATTAACGGTTTCACCTGGTTTTAGAAGCTCATAATACACCACACCTTCCTG